TGTTTTCTTGCTGTTGCTGTTGTTGTTGTTGCTGTTATTTTTGCCTATTTGTGCAATTTTGAGCTTCGATAGACTTCAATGTTTGAGGCAAAAAACCCAACAATATTGGCCATTTAATTTGCATATAAGGTAATTTTGTGGAATCGCAGCGCGCCCACTACATTGAGTGGCTTAGTTTAGATTGTGATGCTCTGCAAGAGAGAGTATTGCAATTGTAGCAATCAATTGGCGACACGGTTAGATACGTATATAAAACAATAGTTTTAATTTGAGAAAATTTGTTACTCTTTTTTTTCAACTTAAAAAGTATTATTTAATATACCTTTGGTCAATTTTATTATTTATTTTATTTTATTTTATTTTTTTTTAATCTTATAAATTAATTTTTACCTATTTATATTTTACACATGTGTATGGATGTGTGTGTTTTTTATATATGTAAATTATATTTATTAATTTGTTTCACATATATTTTTAATATATTAATAAATTTTATAGTACAGCCATTTGCTTTCAAATTAATACCAGACAAAAAAAAAAAAAAAAAAAAAAAACAATATATATATATATAATAAATAAATAAATAATTAATAAATAATATAAAATCATAAATAGATTACAAATTAATTTTTATTATAGCAAAAATATATTTATATATACATACATTAATTTGTTCACCTATTAAAATATAATTTGAATAATCCGTAAACGCATTTTCCCATGATAAATATTCACGTCTAATTTATTTCTTCAATAGTCACTCGCTTGTACTATTAAATTTAATTAAAGTAAATATAATGATTATTATGCAGAAATAACTTCAGTACACATATAAAATATGAAGCACAATACCAAAAATTTAAAACAAAATTAATTGCTCCACTACAAACTCAAGCTTTCGTTCCAAGCGTATTTATTAAGCCTAAGTCCACAATTTGCTCTGATGAGTTATTAAATAAGCAATTAAATTATATAAATTACTCTACGTTGCAATGCACAGTTTTTCGAGCCTTGAGAATTGATTTAATTATATATTAATTATAAGCCGCATTCCTAAAGCCAATTCACAAGCTAAACTAACTAAAAACACAAATCAAATTCGACTTTTTCTTATATTAAAAGTTTCAGCATTTAGTCTAAGACTATACGGCAACATAAGTATATTTTTTTAAATGAATCTTCTTTATTGACTCAATTCGAGCGTATCGTGAAGTCGTTGCTCTTGTAGCTTCTGTGCTTATTTATTGATTTCTTACATTTTGTTTATGTTTCGTTTGGCTTCCATGAACATCCGCGAACGCGTTTATGGGTCAACGTCAAATGCGGCAAATATATTTTTGCCCGGATTGCGCTCGAATTATTTTGTGAGTTTCGCTTTCGGCTCTCGCCTCGTCTGCTTCTTCTTCTTTGTCTGCTTGCTCACTTTTCAGCTTTTCTGTTTTGATCGGCAACCGGTTCAGTTGGCCACATGTTTGTTATTGTTTGGCTTTCTTGTTTCTTTTGTTTATTTATTTTTGCACACTTAAACTTTTATTGCTGCTGTTGTTGTTGTTGCTGTTGTGCATCGATGTAATCGGAAACTTGTTGAACTTGAGCTAAAAAAAAAGGGGAATAATCAGCAGATATCGGAGAATAGCCGCTGGTGCGTGAATTTTGCGACTTTTGGCCAGAATTAAAGTGAAATCGAAGGCCGTTTGCAATTTTGAGGCGAATGCTAATGTGTCGAGTATCTAGAACGTTTCGCTAATTAGCATATCTTGCAGATACGTTTCCCGTTGCTGCCGAAGATGCGCCTGGCCTACGTGCTGATACTCTGCCTGTGCTGGGACTGCGCTCGGGGCCAGCTGTTGGTGGATCTGGTGCGCGATTTCGAGACATCGCTGCTGAACACTCGCATTCCGGACACCACGGCCTTCCGGCCGGAGTATGACTTCATCATTGTGGGCGCCGGGTCGGCGGGCTGTGTGCTGGCCAATCGACTGAGCGAGATTAGGACGGCGAGTGTGCTGCTCCTGGAGGCGGGCGACCAGGAGACCTTCATCAGCGACGTGCCCCTGACGGCGGCCCTCACCCAGACCACGCGCTACAACTGGGGCTACAAGGCGGACGCCACGCCCAACGCCTGCCGGGGTCTGCGCAACGGCGTCTGCAACTGGCCCAAGGGACGCGGCATCGGAGGCACCAGTCTGATCAACTTTATGCTGTATACGCGCGGCCACCGCCGGGACTACGACGGCTGGGCGGCCGCGAATAACACGGGCTGGTCGTACGAGGAGGTGTTGCCGTACTTTAAGAAGTCCGAACGCATCGGCATCCCCGACCTGTACAAGTCGCCCTACCACGGGCGCAACGGGCCGCTGGATGTGCAGTACACGGACTATCAGTCCCGCCAGCTGAAGGCCTTCCTCAAGTCGGGCCGCGAGCTGGGCTACGATATAACCGATACGAATGGCGAGAAGCTGATGGGCTTTGCCAGAGCCCAGGCGACCATCCGCAACGGCAGGCGCTGCAGCACCAGCAAAGCCTTCATCCAGCCCGTGGTGCAGCGGCGCAATCTTCACATCTCGATGAAGAGCTGGGTCACCAAGCTGCTCATCGATCCGGATACCAAGATGGCCGTGGGCGTGGAGTTTACCAAGCACCGCCAGCGATATGTGGTGCGCGCCACCAAGGAGGTCATCCTCTCTGCAGGCGCCATAGCCAGTCCGCAGCTGCTGCTGCTGTCCGGCGTGGGGCCACGTGCGCACCTGGAGGAGCACAACATACCTGTGCTGCAGGACCTGCCAGTGGGCTACAATCTGCAGGATCACATCACACTCAATGGCCTGGTGTTCATGGTGAACGACTCCACAGTCAACGATGCACGGCTCCTGAATCCCACGGACATCTTTCGCTACATCTTCTCCGGCCAGGGCCCCTACACGATTCCTGGCGGCGCCGAAGCCTTCGCCTTTGTGCGCACGCCCAGTTCCAGCTTTGGTAAGACATTCCATTCATCTGGTCTAATCTGTAGTTTAACTTTCATGTCAACATTCTCAGCCAAGGACTATGCGGATATGGAGCTCGTCCTGGGCGCTGGCTCCCTCAGCGGCGATCGCTTTGGCACCCTGCGCGATTTGCTGGGCATCACGGATGAGTTCTATGAGAAAATGTACTCCGACATGCAGAACAAGGAGACCTTCGGCCTGGTGCCTGTTCTGCTGCGCCCCAAGAGCACTGGACGCATCTCCCTGCGCAGTCGCAATCCCTTCCACTGGCCGCGCATGGAGCCGAACTTTATGCAGCATCCGGATGATGTGCGCGCCATGATCGAGGGCATCGAAATGGTACCAACTTCCCTTTATATAGACATAGTGGAGTCTTCTCTCAACTCTGTTAACTTTTTTACAGATCCTGCAGATAGTGCGCACCAAGTCAATGCAGAAGATGGGCACGCGATTCCATGCACGCCCCTTTCCGGGCTGCGAGCATCTGATCTTCGCCAGCAACGACTACTGGCGCTGCTGCCTGCGGCTGTACGGCTCCAGCTTGCAGCATCAGTCGGGCACCTGCAAGATGGGACCGTCCACGGATGCCACGGCTGTCGTGGACCCGGAGCTGCGAGTCCATGGCATTCGGCACCTGCGCGTGGTAGATGCATCCATTATGCCGCACGTGCCGGCGGGCCACACAAACGCAATTGTTATCATGATTGCCGAGAAGGCGGCCGACATGATCAAGAATGCGTGGCGCATGAAAATCGTGCCGCCTCAATGATGAACGAAGTCCGTTCCAGTAATTTACATATATTTATTGCTTAGCTTTCGTAGGAGTCATACGATGGGATGGTGAAATGGTATTTTATGTGATAGGTTGTTGTTATCTTAAGAACTCAGTCAGCCAATTGATTTGGCCACATTTAACGAAATTCCAAAATCGATTTAGATTACGATTTAATTTAATAGAAATTTAACTATTCAAAATTCGCAACTTGCCCAAAAAAGTATTCTAAATTTCATTATTGATTTTCATTTAATGATTTCTAAAATGTATTACAAATCACAAGATGAAAAATGTATTCAAAATGCATATATTAATTTTCATTTAATGACTGTTAAAATCATGATCGCTTGTTAATATAGAAATAATTAACAAATGTATTACAAATCAAATTTTTTTTTATATATATAAACAAAAATGTATTCATAATTTTAAAGTGAAATATATACATATCAAAGATTTGTTTTGTTTTTGAGAATATTATAAGCTATTTTGCTTTCCTTAAATCAAAGGCAAAAATGAAGAAATGCAATTGAATATTAAATTAAATATAAAATATAAAATATAAAATAATAGCAAAAATGCTGTTATATGATTTTTTTTTAAATTTAATATTCTATTATATACACATATATTTAAATTGATTTTATATATAATTTCCTACCTATACAAGCTTTAGAATTTAAAATTGTAGTGATTTTGAATTGAATTCACAATTTGAAATTACGTATAGCCCGCCAAAATGTGAGTGCGGCCTTTAGTTTCTTGATATACATTTGTCTGGCTTTTAGTTCAAATGCCATATGTGAATTGTGAACTGGCTCATATAGCTCATAGCTGGCAGCCTTGAAGCGTATGCAGTTTGACTAGTTACATTGTCGCACACTAGGTGGCGCCACTGAAATGAAATACGTTAGAAAGATATATAAAAATGTTTTTGAAAATTTCAAATATTTTTGAAGATTTAAAATTGGAAGCTATTATTTTTGAATAGCTGATCATATTAATATAAAATTTGCTATGATGTCCATGGAATTATTTAAAAGTCTGTCATAAATTTAGAATCTCCTTGTTTCCATATACAAGCCAGCCCAAGTGTTAACTTTGTTTTGATTTGGCGGCATGTGATTTGCGCAGACTCCGCAAATGTCAAACGAGTTTGACGCCGGCGTCGCTGTCTACGTCGCTGCCTGCGTCGACGTCGCTGGCTTTCATTTAACCGTTAAACGAGTTCAGTTTTTTGGCGGCTTTCGTGTGAGGTGGAACGTGACGTAAACGCGTTAGGGACGCTCGCCATACGGCGTACGCTACGTGTCGTGAATATTACGTTAGTTATTAAAAAAATTAATATACATAGTTGCTATACAATTAAAGTACGAGTCGTATAACTAAAATTAGACAAAATCAAAGTGAATCTGGGCTAGAGCGAAGGTGAATAATAATGAATAATAAATAAAATAATAACAAAAGTTCGGCGTACACGTGGCCTGTTGTATGAATGTGTGTGTGGGAGTGTATGTGTGTGTGTTTGTGGGGGTGTGTGTGTGGGTGTGGATGGATTGTTGTGTGCATGTGGCATGAAATGGAGCAAGAGAAAAAAGTTTATTACTTGAGGTCCCGCAGGGCGCTCTAATCAAGTAAAAGTAAAAGTAAAAGCAATTTGGGTTTAGTCGACGCTATTATTGTTTTTGTTTTAGTGAAATTAACTATTTTTATTAGCTCGCCCACACACAATATGCGCCACAATACATATGCAGTCGGCTTTGCGTGGCATGTTGAGGATTTAGCTTGATGCAGCCCCTCGCTGGCAATGGCTTCAACGGATTGTGACCTCGTCTGGCGTTGGCGGTCGCGATTTTAGGGGTTCCTTAACTCAGCATAGTGTTTAACCTACATTGCCGGATCCGGCTGTGGATCTGGCTGTGGCTTTGGCTGCGGCACGTGGCGTATGCGCAATATTTTAATTAAATGTCGAAATAACTAGGATGGCAACAACTTGAAATCATGCTCGACCGAAATAACTCAAGTATTTGCTGCTTGAATGTGAATGTGAAAATCTCGAGCATTTGTACAAACGCCAGCGGACAGACTCGTCCCTGAGGCGCAACGAGTGCTTAGTAGGTACCAAAAAGTCGACGCCAAGTGGCCAAGCTTAAAGCGGCCTACATTAATTACACGATTTAATCGCCACAAACGACGGACAAGTGAGTATTCCTATTCGTATCTTGGTTTTGTTGGCATTTGCCTATCGCCCTATAAATCAATAAGACATTTCAGTTATTACCCCGAACAAATAGCGCTTTGTTGTTCGCGTCATGAATAATGGGAGCTACTTAATCACGGCGAACGCGCCAGGGAATGTACTTAAATTTGAATGAAGCCTCTCAAGTGCACGTAAGACGGCATTTGGCCAGCTGAAGACATGCTATTGAAGAAATTCAAATTATACATGTTCCTGATAACAAAGCCTATTATTATTGAATTTAAGTTGGGGATCTTGTAAACCTTCAAGTGAAGAAATATCTGGAAACTGTTTTCTTTTTTAGCTCATATTTATTTAGTAAGACTGCTTTTGCTGAAGCTGCTAGACTGGAATATACCCTAAGTCCTGTGAAGAGAGCAGATATACTATGCAACTCCACTTGGGCTGCAGTGTGGGTCATGCTTTGGGCAATTAATTCTTGAATAACTAGAGGACTCTTACTCAAATTAACAAAACGTTATATTTGAAAAATAAAATGACTTAGATTAGTATTAGAAACAAGATTTTTAGAACTTTTTCGGAAGAATAAAATACACAAAATACGATACCAAATTTTTATATGTGCACTGAATCTGATATACTTAGTTTTTGGTTTTTCCGTCAACTACATTAACTAGCTGGATAATAAGAAAATCGAATGAGCTATTGGGAAATGAATAATAGACTCGTGCTGTGTATGATATACTATTACACATTTAAAATTTCTCGTCCATAGTTTTTGTTGTTTATGAGATTGCTGCGTTTATACGGCCGAGCAGACAGAGATGGCTATATCTACTTAGTCCATTGCCGTGATCTAGGATATAAAGTTTATTTGGTCAGCTACGCTTATTTTTTAACTTTTACATAAATTTTAACAAAATCCTTATCTCTGATTTCTTATTAGTCTTTTAAAGCCAATGAAAAATTGGGGTATTAGGGTATAAATTTAAGCAAATATAAGCAATGCATATAGAGACTTCTTGCATGTATGTAATTTCAATAGATGAATTTTATAACTATGTAAAGAAATAAATTTTAGATCATAGGTTGGCCTCAAACAAGTGCAAATCTTGCTGCCGAAAATGCATGTTGTTTTTCTTATAAATTTGTATTATTGAGTTAGTTAGTGAAAGCAAAATTGAGTTAATATTGTTTTATGTTGTTAGAGAATTAGTTATGAGCGTGTTCTTTTGTTTCGGCAAGTAATTTATTTCTGAGCAATTACCATTTCAATCAAAATGCTAATTTCGGCCGTCAAATACCAAACGCCAGTTTGTCCGGTGTTTGCTGTTAGGCTGTCACTCTCGCGTCCTACGTGAGTGGTTACCTGGGCAGGTTCTTTGTTGCACACTCCACGTGCCACCTGCCACCTCCCACGTCCATTATGCGCTTTGGCATATTTAATTATCTGGCAATTCATCAGCGTGTTTTGTGTGTGCTTTGTCTTTAATTTGCAGCTACCCCAGCTGAAATAATGGCACCCGCATGAGGAGGCACACAGAGAGAAAGTTTCTCTGTTGCGATAATAATAAAACTGTAATAAACAATAAAATATAAAAGGAGCAGAGCAACAAAGCAACAGCAGGGCGAGAGGCACGAAATATTGCCAAGTGAGGCAGTCGCAGTCACATAAATGGAATGACAATGAAAGAGGACACAGTTGCTGCCAAACAATGCGCATATGTATGTGTGGGAGGCAAGGTGTATTGCACACACGCCCGACAGCCAGAGGACAGGACAGAGAAGTCCACTGTGGGTGGCGTCGAGGCGGCGGGGCGTGACGCGCCCCTTACTTCCCTCCTCGCCCAAAGAAAAAAAAAGAAAAAAAAAGGCCAAGGCAACTGAGGCGGTCACAAATGTTGCCACAAATGTCATGTGCTCGCATTGCAACTAAACTCGTCGCTGCCTGAGTTTTGAAGCACGCCACATTACGTATACGCCCCACATTATGCTAACCCCATGCCATGAGCATTGCGTAGACGTTAAGTTGCCACAGGAATATTACCAGCAGTCACGTAGGAAAGCAAATGCTGCCTCGTCGCTTCAGTATATGTGCGTGACTTACCATGTGTAACAGTGTGTGTGTGTGTGTGTGAGTGTGTATGTGTGTGGGTCGCTTATCAGCCATCATAATAATTGTTGGGGCAATTCCCCGGCACTAAACTCACGCTACACGAATTCATGTGCCAGCGAGTTGGGACATACAAAAATATCTCCATGTACATATGTGTGTGTGTGTGTGTGGGTATGTGTGTGTAACAGTAAACACGCGACCATTTGGTCAGCCAGCCACATTAACTGTGGCCAGTTGGAATGTTGCCCAAGGCGCTCAGTGCGAGGCATAATTACACACGCATTTGGTGGTCATAAAAAGAACATTTGTGCAGATGTATAATGCACAAAGAGAAAGAGAGAGCGAGAGAGAGAGAGAGAGAGAGAAGAGAAATGTGAGAAAAAAAAGGTAAACAAAAAATTACTCAGTAAATACAATCGACTGTGAGATACCCTATAGGCAGAGACAGCTCATAGAGTTTTTGTGAATCTAAATACATTTAAACAAAGATGCCTAGCTCACTTTATTATCATTTAAAAGGCATCAGAGCTCAAGTCTATAAGTCATATACCTATTCTCGTCACATTTCTCCCTAGCTATTTCCTCCATTAGGCAACATATGCATTAATGTGACGCTGCCACATAAATTTGTTTTTTGTAGGGTATAAAAAAAATTTGCAGCGTAATGAAAGTTCAACATTTGCGGGAGTCACAAATGAATTTAATATGGTATTGTGCCTTAAAATTTTACTATCCGCCGTGGCATGCTCTACTCCAGTTTCATTCTCTGCTGCGTGCAACGTTTTTATGAATAGTTGAAGCACTGAAGAAATATTAAAGGCAGCAGGGGCACAATTTCTGGGAAATTATAATTTTACGATGCTATTCGCTTTATTTTCTTTTTCTTTTTAATATCAGTAAATTTTCGTATTTCAGTAAAATGGAGTCTCTCAGCCATAAGAGTGAGTCTCCTTTGCAGAGAAGTCAGTGCATATTTTTTGTTGATTAAATATTCCATGTATTTTGATATTTATTTTTTTATATATCTATATATACTATGTATTTCAATATTTGTATACTTTTAGTTTATTTTAAGAGCCGATTCGTATATATATATAAATATTTTTTTTTTTAGCTCATTCAGGAGAATGAAGTGAATAAAATTTATATTATTCGTCCTGCTGTCCGTCTGTCCATTCGTCCGTATAAATGGCGCTATCAAATGGCAAAGCTCTTACTTATTTCAAATTTCTTTATTATAGATTTATATACTTTCATTTAAATTTGCTGGCAGTATTATTATTGAGGTACTACTCTTTCTTTCAATTTTGAAGGTAAATTTAAATATATTTATATATATATCGATACTTGCAATGCATTTTAACGATATTTCACATATTTATATACTTTCAATGCATTCTGAGAGTAAATTTAAATATATCTTTATATGTATGTATATCTATATTTCCAATGCATTTTGAGGGCAATTAAAATATGTCTATATTTTCGAATGCATTTTGAGGTCTAATTGATATCTAACAGCCATTCACTTATTTAACACTCGGACAAGTGCTTATTATAAATCAATTGGGACAGTGTTTACGGGCCCTTGAACTGTGCAAATTATGACAAACGATTGCTGCTTCTAGGCCTAAGGTTTGAGCCGTTGTTTGCCCAACATTGAGCACATCGTTAAGGGCTCTTGGGCGGCGGCTATTAAGAGCTGGGTCTGCAGTAATCAATAATGATTTATGCTTTCATACATATACTCATTCGTTGTTTCAATTTTACACACTGCTTGCCTTTAAAATGAAACTCGTGTTGGCTGCCTTTGAGCGGATCCTTGTTCCTGTGTCTGTGCGTGTCGCTAAACTAGGGCAGCCGGTGGAGAGTTGAATCCCTTTTGGTAAATATCTGCTGTGGCGTTATTTGCGCCTGCTTTTTAATGCACGCAACGGTAGCATTTTATGGCAAAGCCAACATCCTTTGACAGTCGACCGTCTCGCTCACTCGCACTGTCTGTGCGGCTATTTAAACAGGCAACGAGCCACACGGCGATCAAACAGTAGCCAGTAACAGAATAAAACTGAAGCCATAAGAGAATTGCAGCTGGAAGTAGACTCGCCCGGGGCG